CGGAGCGGGGCGGGGCGGCGAGCGGGCGGGCCCGGGGGCCGCGGGCCTGGGGCGCCCCGGGGCGGTGGGACGGGCCCGGTCGGCCGGAAGCTGGGACGCCCGCGGGCGAGGCTGGAGCCTGGGCCCACCCCCGCGACTCTGAGGTCTTCTTCCTGGTCTCGGGCACAATCTGGGCTGTCCCCTGGGAGGCTCTAAGACCCTTCTGTAGGCCTCGGCGCCCGAGGGAAAACGTTCCCGTCCCTGGACCGACTTCCTTGCTCGACTCCTTTCGTGTGCACCCACGACAAAGGAGAAAGATGAGGCAGAATTGGAAAAGGGAAATAGCAAAGAAAGGACATTTCTTTCTTTTTTTTTTTTCAAGTTTATTTATTTTTGAGCGAGTGTGTGAGCAGGGGAGGAGCAGAGAGGGAGGGAGAGAGAGTGAATCTCAAGCAGGCTCTGTGCTGTCAGTGGAGCCTGATGTGGGGCTCAACGCAGGCTCAAACTCGCCAGCCGTGAGATCTGAGCGGAAACCAAGAGTCGCCAAGAGTCAGACTCCTAACTGACTGAGCCACCCAGGTGCCTCCAAAAGGGGGGCATTTCTTGAAAGGAATCCCTTCTTGACTATCCGTGGCCTGAGCTTTCGTGCAGCCTTCTGGCTGCCCTGTGCAAGTAGAGACCTGGTGGGCCCCAGCTCAGGGATGGGAGGGGGAAAGCTGCTTTCCTGCCTCAAGGCATCTGGTTGGCTTCTTCCTGAACTCACCTTGAACTCCTCCCAGCCCTACTGGCCTCCCTTCTGTTTTCTGTTTCTTGAATGCCCCAGAGTTATTTTCAACTTAGAACCCTCATTGTTTACTTAGCCTGGATCCTCTTGGCCCACAACCCCTGTGCTATCAGAATGCTCTTCTAACCTCATGGGAGGGTAGGACACAAAGTGATGTAGGAAACACACACACACAAATTAAATTCTCTTACTGCCTACAACCCACTGACAAACGACCTTCCTCTAGGAATTCAGCTGCCTCAATGATGACACTTTGCTCAGGGCAAAAGGCAACCTTAGCTTAACATCATCCCCACCCCCAGCACCCCCAGGATCCTGTAAGTCTACTTTAACATATAAAAACTCCTTTGGAAACTTACTTTACCTCTACCCCCCAAGATACCTGTTAACAATCATCCTTTAAGCATATGGCCCACTGATACACACTGAAGGGGCTCCTGACTGGCCAAATGGTAATAAACGACCTTTTCCTAACAACAGCTAGGCTTCAAGGTCCTGGGAACCTTGCTTCCAAAATTCCTGAGACTCACTTTGACCCTAACCCCCTCCCAACCTGAAGGTATATAATCAGTCACAGTCACCCATCACAACCCCAGTGCAGCTCTTTCTGCCCATGGGTCCTGTCTGTGTGCTTTACTAAAACCACTTTTAGGGGCACCTGGGGGGGCTCAGTCAGTTGACTATCTGACTCTTGATCTTGGCTCAGGTCATGATTTCACGGTCCTGAGATGGAGCCCCTCCTTAGGCTCTGTGCTAACAGTGCCAGGGCCTGCTTAGGATTCTCTCTCTCCCTCCCTCTTTCTCTGCCCCTCCCCAACTTGCCCTCTCTCAAAAATAAATCAACTTAAAAAAAAGTTTTTCCTTTTTTTATGTTTATTTATTTATCTTTTTTTTAATGTTTATTTACTCTTGAAGGAGAGAGAGAGAGAGAGAGAGGAGAGAGAACGTGAGTGGGGCAGGGGCAGAGAGAGAGGGAGACACAGAATCCGAAGCAGGCTCCGGGCTCTGAGCTGTCAGCACAGAGCCCGATGCGGGGCTCGAACTCACCATCTGTGAGATCATGACCTGAGTGAAGTTGGTTGCCCAACTGACTGCCACCCAGGCGCCCCAGTGTTTATTTATTTTTGAGAGAGCACGAGAGAGAGAGAGACAGAGAGAGACAGAGCATGAGTGGGGGAGGAGCAGAGGGAGACACAGAATCCAAAGCAGGCTCCAGGCTCTGAGCTGTCAGCACAGAGCCCGACTCAGGGCAGGGCTCAAACTCTCAAACCGGGAGATCATGACCTGAGCCAAGTCCGAGGCTCAACCGACTGAGCCACCCAGGCGCCTCTGTTTTTTCTTTTTAAAGTAAGCCATTACATCCAAAGTGGAGCTTGAACTCACAACTCTGAGGTCAAGAGTCTCAGGCTCCATTGACTGAACCAACCAGGTGCCCCTTTACTTTAATTTGATGTGTGATCTTAAGCAAGTCATTTTTCGTCTCAGGAACACGATAAAGTAGGTGAAAGAGGGAAATTAGACTCGCCGACGATGCCAGAGGTTCTTCCCAGCTCTGACATTAATGAAAGCTGACCATATTTTCCACTTAATCATCTCTCCACATGCAACCTGTAGGAAGCCCTTTGAAACCTTCCTTGCTCTAGGAAAGATCCAGGCAGGGGAAGCTCTGCTCTCCTTAGAGCTCTGCATCAGTCCAGGAAGCCTGCTTTTTCTTCTGACGACTTGAGCAGGATGCAGGAAGATGAGCAGGAAATCTGAGAAAGTGCAAACAAGCGAGTACAAAGAACATGGGTTCAGGCGTCCAAACGTTGGTCCTACTTACAGAGTAACCTCGAGAAAGTAACTTCTCTCTTCCAGCTATGACTTGCTATGAGAATTATGAGTGATATGAAAACGCCTGACCGTCTAATAGGTACTCGATAACTATGGATCCTGCTCCTGTTTTTACCCTCAGCACATTCCAATTTTCACGAGAAATATCAGTTTGAGATCTGGATCCACACCCCAAACTGTCCTGCTTTTCTCAGGGAGCTACCCTTTTTCCGAAGCACTACTGGGGATGCAGGCAGACAAAAATCATAGCTGTAGCTCCATTGCTAAATTTGAAATGAATTCCTCCTGGCCCTTCAGTCACGAGGCCAACAATCCTGAGCTTCGGTATTGCTACGTTGCAATCATGGATCTCTGTCTCTTCGTCGGTGAAGTTAGGGAAAGGTTACCTGCCCTGTCTCCTTCGGGGCTGTTGTGGATTAAATGCGAGAACAGCGTTTATGAAAACATTTTGTAAACTATACGAATGCTGTTGGTAATTATACCCTTCGTTGGCCCACAGTCCAACGAGTATGCGTGTGCAGCCGCTGTTCTTTTTCAGCAGCCCGGCGCGCAGACGGGATTTGCGACACTCTCCGCGCGCTCAGAGCTCCTACTTGGGCCAACAGGTCGTTCCCCGTCGCCCGGCTCGGAACCTGGGCCCGGGAGCCAGGCAGCCGCTCCCGCCGCGGCCCCGGAACCGCCCTGCTTCCCGGCCCCGGCCCCGGCCCCCGGCGCCGGGCTCGCGGCCTCCCTCCCGCCTCCCTCCCGCCTCCGCGGTGCCCCGCCCCCTCGGCAGCCCTCTGGCCACCCGGGGAGCAGCCTGCCTCGAGTCGGCGCTCCCATTGGCTCGATACCCTGCCCTTCAAACCCCTGGCGTCCCATCAGAGTCCAGAGTGGAAAGAGCGCCTCGGAGCGGGGGAGGGGAACCCTTGGAGAGACTCGGGCCGTCGGGTTGCGGCCTTCCCACAGTGTCTTGTCTTCACCCTGCCGGGCTCTCGTCTTACGCAACTCACGGCCGGAGAGCTGGCACTTGGTGTGCTCCGGTCACAGCCATCGCCGTCCTTCCCTGAGGAGCCCGTCCAAACCCTCAGGAAGACTCGCTGTCGCTAGCAGAAACTGAGGCCCGAAGGGCGAGGCTGTCTGTGTCTTGCTCAAGGCCGGTTTGCGGACGCCTAGCCTCCCGGCCCCCAGCTCGAAGACGCGGGCCCGCCGTGGCCCCTGGCCAGGCGCCAGCCACTCTGCAGTGTCCGGGGTCAGGCCGGGGGCGGGGCTTGGCTGGGCTGGTCCAGGATGCGAGATCCTGGAGGAAAGAAGCGCGGTGGTGGCCTTTCGGGCGGCCGGCGGGCTGGGCCTCTGGGAACAGGTAACACTGAGGTGGGCCGTTCATCTGAGCCAGACGTCAGGCCGCCGGAGGCGAGATCCCCGGGGGCAGGTGAGGCAGGGAGAGGGTGGAAGGAGGAGCGGGGAACCCAGGAGCTGGGGGGAGGGCGCCCTCACCCTGGTCCCGCTCTCTCTGCAGAATGGACTTCCGAACCCCCGACCTGCTGGATGCGTGGCTGGAGTCCCCAGAAGATGTTTTCTCAACAGGGACCTTCCCGGAGCCGGGACTGCACGGCCCACCTCCGGAGGCCCCGGGGACGAAGCTCCAAGAACAGGGGCTGCGAGGCTGGGAGCCCAGTGGGGGCCGTGGCTGTGTGAGTGGGAGAGATGCCGGTGGGGTGGGCGGAGGCGCAGCTGTGATGAGGGGCCCATCAGGCTTCAGCCTCCACTTGGAGACGTCTGAAGGCCAAGCCCCTAAAGGGCATGTGATCTGTAACCATCCCCGTGTCCAAGGACACAAGGGACTGAAGAGGCCAGATGCAGGTTTGACGTCCCATAGCACTCTGCAATTCTCTGTACACATAGACTCCCTCTGGTACTGCAGGGCCTTCGAGACAGTGAGCCTGAAGACTTCCTGAAACTTTTCATTGACCCCAATGAAGTGTACTGCTCAGGAGCCTCTGCTAGCAGCGACAGTGGCCATCCATCTGAGGACCCTGGCCGTCCAGACAGGCCTCCCGCCCCTCAAGCACCCAGTCCCCCTGCTCTCTATGAGGTGGTCTATGAGGCAGGGGCCCTGGAGAGGACGCAGGGGGAAGCTGGGCCAGCTGTAGGGTTCATCTCTCTCCAGCCAGGTCAGTGTTCCTGGTGGAAAGGGGACAGTGGCCTTTCAGGCCCAGCCCTAGTCCTGGGGCGAGGGGTTTTCCCAGCCTGTGCCTCCAGCCAGGCCCTGCTGCCATGGGGGTGTGCCCTTCGTCTCCTTTACTCCTAGCCACCTGTGTCTCCCTCAGGTCAGCGGAGCCCACAACTGACGGTGCCTGATGTCTGCGTGGTCTGTGAGCTGCCCTGTGATGCTCACGACACCCTGCCCGGAGCAGGCACTGTAAACCCAGTGCCTCCTGCGACCCTGGTGAGTTTGGCCAGCCAGATCCAGTACTCCTGGATACAAAGACAGGCACCCACACAGATGGGGAAGGAGGCTGCGGGAGGGGGAAACTGATGCTAATCTCTTTGTCCCAGTTTTTGTGGCACTGGGCCTGAAGACCAGGGAGGCATGGGTGATTCTAAGTGCAGAAAAGGGCAAGGAAGACAGAAGCCCTTGGGGGTAAGGTGGCGATGACTCAGTTAAGGAGAAAGTGGGGTGAGGGAGACTGGAGACAGGGTCCGGGAGAAAGGCCAGAACTTATGTGCACTTTGCTCAGCATGGCCATTGTTTCAGCCTTGGGTCTGCACATGGAGGGGGCAGGCTGCCTGGGATCCCAGCTGGTGACTGGCACAGGGTGTGGGGCAGCAAGTGACCTGTTCCCACTGGAAGCACCATGCGGCCACACCCACAGCCCAGTGGGCAACACTCAGCTGCCTCCCTCAGGCTGGCTAGACTGGTTCCTGCAGTGGGGGGCGAGGAAGGGGTCTTGCTCAGTCACTGTCTGACGACAGAGCTGCTTGTGTGCAAAACGTGGGCAAAGGGTTCTGGCCTCCCTGCAAGCCTGGACAAAGCTGGCACCAGAATCCACACCAAACATCTCCGAATCGGGCTGAGGGACCTTAGGAAGTCCGATGCTTCTAAGCTTGCATTCGCATCAAAACACTGGGGAGTTTGTGGCTTCAGGGGAGCAGGAAGGGACAATCAGGAAAAGGCAGAAAGACAAAAAATGGTTTGGCTAAAAGCCAAAGATCATCAGGAGTCAAAAGCAAAATCAAATTCCTCTTAAGTCAAAGTGAAGCATAAATCTTTCAAGGAGTACCAGAACTGCGGGTTACTCTGTCGGCAGGCTCAGGCTAACCAGATGCCCCCTACCTCCCCACAGACCGTGTTAGGAGAAGTTGTTCAGTCTGGTGGCCCTTGGGGAGTTCTTTGACAGGGGACAGAGCTTCCATCTAGAAAGTGGGGCTCAGACCCTGGGGGAAAATGGGCCACTGCCCCAGGGAGCTCCCGGTGGTTGACCCTGACTGGACATCGCACTCTGCCGGATGGAAGTTAACGGCAAAAGCGAACCATTCTAAGCAAACCTTACCTTAGTGAGTTGCTGCCTGCCTTCTTCAGATATCCTGAAGGTTTGGGGACCAGAACCGGCCCTCCCTAGCTTGCTCAGAGTCCTGAAGTCCTAAGCCTGGGGGCAAAGGACATATCACAACCCCTCTTCTCTCCCTTCTCAGCCCCAGGAGGCCCCAGACGGAGCCCGTCTGAATTAAGGCCCCTTCGCCCCTCCTCACTTCACGGTTACGTATTCCTCTCCAGAAGGCACGCAGGGAGCAGCCTTGTGTGATGGGAAAGACAGGACCCTCCCCCACTGTCCTCTCACCCTCTCCTGTTCTCCACCAGCTGCCCTGTCAGACCTTGTTCCTGACAGAAGAGGAGAAGCGTCTGCTGGGGCAGGAAGGGGTTTCCCTGCCCGCACACCTGCCCCTCACCAAGGTAACATGCTTCCCCAAAGGGTATCCCAACACAGCAGCCCCATCCTGGCCTCTGAAGAGCCAGGACCACAGAGGCTAGTGGGGCGCTGAGGGAGGTTAAGGGCCCAGGACTGACACCCCCGGGCCCCCAGGCAGAGGAGAGGGTCCTCAAGAAGGTCAGGAGGAAGATCCGGAACAAGCAGTCAGCTCAGGACAGTCGGCAGCGGAAGAAAGAGTACATCGATGGGCTAGAGAGCAGGTATGTCTGGATGTCGGTGTCCAGCTCTCCGTGGGCCCTGTGTGGGCCTCCTTACCAGGGCAGGCAGGCCAGGGCCCACAGGATTGCAGAGCTTTGTCCCACCTGTCCACACACCCTAGGGCCGCTGCCTGCTCTGCACAGAACCAGGAACTGCAGAAAAAAGTCCAGGAGCTGGAGAGGTGCAACGTGTAAGTGCATACATAACCTGCTCCTCTGGGGAGGGCGGGCCCAGGTAGGGGTTGGGGGGAGCTCCCCCGGGGGGGGGGGGGCCCAGGTAGGCAAGAGGGGGTTGGCGTTAGGGCTACCATTCTTGTGCCCTGACTTCCGGTGCTGGTGCCGGAGCCCTGACTCTCCACTCTGCCTCCCCAGCTCCCTGGTAGCTCAGCTCCGCCAACTGCAGCTGCTGGCTGCCCGGACCTCCGACAAAGCTGCCCAGACCAGCACTTGTGTCGTGGTCAGTCTGCTGCCCGACCCCCTGACGTCCACCATCTTTTGCCTCCATCCCGACACCCCCGGCCCTGACCACACCCGCCTTCCCATCCCTGATGACTCCAACCGCTCTCTATTCATTCTGCCCTTGGCTCCCTGCCTTTGTCCCCACAGCCCAAAGGACCTTTTGTTTTCTCCAGATCCTTCTTTTTTCCCTGGCTCTAATCATCCTGCCCAGTGTCAGCCCCTTTCAGGGTCTCCGGGAAGCTGGGCCTGAGGATTACCAGCCTCATGGAGGTGAGGCAAGGGCAGGGGGGAGCTGTTTTTCAGGGTAGTCAAGATGGGGGAGGGAAGTCCTGCCCTCTAGGATCCCCCACCGAAGGGAACACTCTATTACTGCCCTTCTTCCTCCACCCACAGTGGTTTCCAGAAATATCCTAAGTCACAAGGACATGACAGAAGGTTTGGAGACCACAGTAGTAGAGTCCAGACCGGGGGGGCCACTTAAGACCAAGGGTGAAAATGGCTCAACAAGGACACTGCTTGAGAAGATGGGAGGGAAGACAGGCTCCAATGGGCACGCAGGAGCTGTGCTGCATGCAGAAGAGATGTGAACCCACCTGCTTCCCGGCCACAAGAGGGAATCCAGGATCCCTTGTGGCTCTTGTTCCCCCTGGGTTTCCCATTCAGAATTCTTTGGCTTCAGGGGTCTGAATCATTTCTGGACGTCCTAAATGTCTGTACCCTGAGGCACAGGCTACATGACGCATTTCAAATACTTTATACATCTGCAACTTTATTTCTTCTTTGGGGTTAGGGTTGAGGGGAAACAGGTTTTGGCTGAGAAATAAACTTTTTTGCTGAAATTGTATCCTGAAAGTTTTAAATAAGTAGCAGGAGAAGAAGATAGGTAGTCGGTAACCTGGGGCGTAAAGTTGCCACCGTTTCCACGCCTGCTGCCATGACTTCCGGTCCCAAACCAAATTACAATAGGGAAGGGAACCATTCTACTTACTTTGCTGGTTAATGATCTAGACAGGAAACGCAGAAAGGGGCGCCACCACCAGTCTCCCAGAATAAGGGGCACAAGTCTCTGTCTGAGGCAGGGTCCCTAAAGACCCCTGTCAAAGGGCAGAAGGTCACTATATGGACTCGATTTGCTTCCGGACCTTTTCCAGAGCTTTTCTGTCCAGCTGTCGCTGACGAACGATGACAAGGCAAGCGAAGACCAAGGCCACACCCACGACAGCCCCTTCAAATTTCCAGAATAAGTGCTGCTCCATCAGAGCTGAGCGGCAGCTAAGGGCAGGAAGAAACAGTTATTCCCAGGGAACGCTGGACAACCTCTCCCTCTCATCGCCCTTCTACTGAAGCCCCACCAAGACACATCTGGCGGGAAAAGAGAGAGCTACTGGAAGCCTTCTAACGTGTTCACCGCACACAAATCCCACTCAAATATATCATCCGGCTTCTTTCTGGTGTGGTCATGAACAGAGCTAGCATTAACCAGCACAATAGGACCAGTGATCCAGAAACAGAACTGGGACTTGGGTTCACATACTTTGCCCCCCTTCCAATATGCCAGGCTACCTCCAGAGGGACAGAAAGACCTGGGTGAACTACCTAAAATCACAGGAACAAAGGAGCTGACCTAGGTTTCAAGAAGAGAAACGGTACTTGCCTTTTCAACTCATTTCTCTTGGATGAACTGCATGTGATTTTCTCCACGTACCCTGTGGAACCACACTCAGGAGTGGTCTTCTGTCAGGAGAAAAGAACCAAAGAACAGGTCACGAAAGGGCAGCAGCAAAAGCATGAGGAGTGTCACTCAGAAGGGGCAGGTGCCCAACAGGTACGGCTCCAAGCTGGTGGTCAACAGAGAACCAACAAGGGTTCTGATGGGGATGCTGGATGTGCCGGAGGCATGAGAAATGCATTAAAAAGAACACCTCAGGGGCAGGTTCCAGAGCCTGCTGGATTAAAAATGATCATGACTGGGGCACCCGGCTGGCTCAGTGGGTGGACCCTGCGATTCGTGATCTCAGGGTTGTGAGTTCCAGCCCCAAGTTGGGCATCGAGATTTCTTCCTTTTCTTTTCTTTCTTTCTTTTTTATGAACAGGACTATTAGGTGAACGTTGCCATTGACTTAGAAAGGAAAGGGCACATTTTAAGGGGGGAAACAAGTTCCAATGTGGACATACACTGAAACTGCAAGAACACAAAGACGACGCAAAGTCACATTTCCTAAAACCGAGAGGGACTAGATATGACAAAAACGGGACAACAGATACTCACAGCCTGGAAATTAGAGCACGGAGCACATTCTTCTGCCACCACAAACTCTTCCACCAGCCAGCACGGCAAATTTGAGGTGCTCACTAAAAGGGGAGAGAAATGCCAGCCCCAGCCCCAGAAGGTATTTCCCCCAAAGGTTCCGCCCATCCGACTTCCCAGCACAGCTAACAGCCTTCATTTCGCTTGGCGCCACCCCTTCCCACCTGTGCTCCCGGTAAGGGGAGGACGTCAAAAGAAAACAGAACTATGGGGGTGTCGGGTTACCACACCAGCACCCACCTGACAGCTTCTCCGCCCGCACCGGAGCCTCGGCTTGGCTGCAGCGACAGGGAGGGAGGAAGGGTGGGGGTGGGGAGGCAAGAGTCAGAAGCCGGCAAACAGGGAACTCCCGACCTCCGCGGAGCCTGCTCCCGGACTCCGTCCCCCCCAGGGGCGTGGACGAGGCGATCCTCCCGCCCCCTCCACTTCCCAGCCCTCAGCCTCTCCTTACCAGAGCTTCAAGGTGAAAGCGCAGAGCAACCAGCACAGGTGGCTGCCCTGGGGGAGGCTACGCCTCCCTGCGCCTGTAGGCATGGGGTGCTCGGGGTCGCGCCTTTGGGGACGGAGGGACTGGCCTCGCGCCCCGTCGGAGCGCTGACACTGCAGCCCTCGGGAGGTTCCAGATCAGGGCTGAGAGGTGCTGGAATTGCCTGTCAGGGCAAAGGCTTTATTGGGACGTCCCCATGGCCACGGCAAGAAAAGCCGACACGCATTTGCGGGGCTGGGCCGTGAGCTCACTTCTTCGGACCCCCTCGGCCCTCGGGAGAGGCCGAGGGACGTACGGCCTAGCACCCCGTCACCTCCGGGGCCGTCCCTGCCGCGGCCATCTTGCCCCGCGGAGGATACCGGGACCGCGGGGGATGCCGGGACCGCGGAGGGTTCCAGCGGCTCTTCCGGTCGGCGCAGGCGCGCGGGTTGTGGCCGCCGGGACTCGTCGTCTGGGCAGGTGGCCCTCAGTCTCCGCTCCGTGCGACTCGGGCTGCCGGCGTCGAGCTCGGCGCGCCGCGGCCTGACGGTCCTGCTGGCGAGGCTCGTCTGGCTTCTCGGTTCGTGGCTCCCGGGCTGTCGCCTGGTGGCCCCTTCTGGGCTGGGGAGCAGCGCCACGGGAGGAACAACGCGTCGTCCCAGGACTTTGCCGCCTCGGAAAAGCCTGGGATTCACCATCTAGCTACCGCTTGACACCCGTCCTGCCCCGGTGGCCCCGGGAGGGAGGCGACACTGCACTTTCTCCTCCCGAGACCCACGGTGCACCGATCAATTATGTCGCCTTCGCGCGTGTTAATTACTTTTTAAGTTGTTTTTAATAATCTCTGCGCCCGACGTGCGGCCTCAGTTTACAGCCCCATCGCGTGTTAATTTACAACAACCCCGCCCCGCGTTGGTGCTTTGAACGAGCTCCGCGGGTCCTAGCTCGCCCGGCTGCCGCCTGTTGGGATCGTCATTCGTGCGGGGAGGACATTGTAAGTCGCAGAGAGGAGTTGGGACTTTAGGACCCTCTCGGCATTCTCTGTAGAACAGAAATGCTAATGTGCGTTTTCTAGGGTTTTTTGTCGAGATACGAATGAAATGAAATGTGTAGTAAAGTATTTCCTTTATTCTCTAATTGCATCGCGTCACATTACTGTCATAGTTTTTGAATCCAACATTTAGGCCGTTTTGATTTTCAGTATTCCTGAGGAGTCAGAGTTGGTTATCAGTCCCATTTTATAAGTAAGCTCAGGGTATAAGGGATTGTCCAAGGTCACCCAGCGAGTGAGTGGGAGACCTAAGGCGTGAGCCCCAGACGTTCAGCTCCAAGTCCAAAGATTCACCCCTGCTTTCTCCATCCCCATCGAGTTAACCCTGGATATGTATCCAGAACGCAGAGACTTGACCCACACTCTTGCTTTACCGTGTGGCATTAGTTATTATCTAACTCTGCCCATATTTTCATCCTAGTTTTACACACATACAGGTCTACAGCCTCCCAGACAACTGGACCGTGTGAGTTCAAGGAGATACTTAAATTCACATAAAGGAGGTCACTAATAGTAATCTGTCCCCCACTTCTCAAGATGAAAGGGCTCGTCCCCAGACTTTGGTTAACGCCACCCCACATTCTCCTCTCCCAAGAAGCGTTCCTGGCCTAAATATAACAGCTACTCCCACGACCCCAGGGCTACAGTACTTTATTTTAGGATTACAATTTATGGGTGCAATGTCCCATAAATCCTGACTTCCCATCGGGAGTAAAGCTGGCTGCTCAAGAACAGGAGCCATCAGACTGGAAAGCCCACTGCACAGGAGTTGAACAAAAAACCGTGAGGACTGAGTTTTACTTTTCTGTGACTACTTGCTCATTCCCCTACGTTACTATTTGTGCGGATCAGTAGTTGTGCGCTACCAAAGTAGGTGTGGGTGTTTTCCAGTGGCTTTTAGCTGTAGGAAAAGTCTTGGCTGAAACCTCCTAGCATGCTGTTACTCCTTATCAAACCCTACCATGTCTCTGGACAGGCGAGGGTCCAAAGCTCTCCCATCCACTCGCTTTACCAAGCAACAATAAGCCTCCACACTGAAACTGGCTTTTCAAATCTTTGCTCTGGGGTATGGTGAAGGTTAGTCAGTGTTCTTCCTGGGATTCACGAAATGTAAGTCTTTCCTCATAACCTTGAGCAAATTACACTCGCTGGGTTGTTGACTACAGAGCTCAGACGTGATCCAGGTAAGATCTTCACCCCATGGAAGCTCGGTACCTAACACATTTATCCGACCACACCACAGTTCTCCTCCCAGCACAGCCAGGCCCTTTCCTGGTGTTGTGTTTTACCAACAAGAAACAGCAGCACAGAAAGCCTTGCTGCTGACCCCAGGGTCATGCCATCCACTTCCACGCCACAGGCATGGGGATTTCTTAAATGCCTTGAACTTCAGATCTGCGAATTACACTCCTAATGGTATTTTGCCTAAACCAAATCTGATATGTTCATTAATCCTGTTAAAAGGTCTTGTGAGAGAAGTTTGCTGTTTCGATACTGTGGCGTAAGGGTCAAAAGGGGGCTGTGGGTCAAGGTGGTAGTTCTTTGGCATGCCAGTAGTTTGGCCTCTTTGTTGTGCAGTATTTAGGAGCAGTGTGTGTTAAAATTTGCTTGTCCATCACGTAAAGTTCCACCCAAAAGTTATATTATCTTGACTGTTGTGCTTGGCACATACTAGATGCTCAATAAAGATTTAGGAGTAAATGAGCCTCTTCTGTGCCTCATTTTCCTCCTCTATAAAAGTGGAAAATAACACCTACTAGCCACCTAAAAGGACTGCTGGCAGAATCAAAGGCGCTTAAAGAAATCATGGGATAAACAATACAAGGTCCTGTTATTTCCTTGAGGCCAGGGCTGTCTCTCCCCTGGGAAGGCCTAAGAAAGAGCCCTTCTGGATACTAGGCAAGGTTCTGCCCATAAGGACCCTCTAATTTCCATCATGGAAAGGATGTCAAGCCCCTCAGGTTCAGAGAACCTCCTTGCTGTTCTCTTGTCCATGAAATCGCAGGAAAGGGACAGCTGCACACAGGTCCCGGTGTCACAGGAACCTGGCCAGGTTCTGGCAGCCCAGCCACCTTAGAGGCAGGAATAAGGTTGGTGAGCAGAGAGCAGTTCTGCTGATGAAAGTTACCCAAACCAGGGGACTCTGTGTGGGTGGTGGCCTTTAATGCTGAGAAAGACCACGCAGAGTGGTAGGATCAGAGCTTCAGAGGGATTACCGAGCCCACCCCTCACACGGCCCTAAAACCTGATCCGGTAACGACGACGAGCCAACTGTTTATTTACACTTCTGTCTGCCTTACAAGTCCAGGGAGGGCCTGGCGCCCGGGGCCCTTGCTTCCCTCCTCCCTCCCTTCCTGCCCCTCACCTTCTCTGACTTCCTGCCATCTTTCTCCTCCTCGCCTCTCCCTGCCTCTCTATTCTACCTTCTCTCCTCTCACGTTCCTCCTTTTCTTCTGCATTTGCTCCCCGCTCGGCCATCTGCCATCTACCCACCTCTACCCCCTGAGCCCCACCTGCCCGCCCTCGGCCCAGCGTCCAGGCCCAGGTCCTCAGCCGAGGGAGCACCTGCTGCTGCTCTTCTTGTCACAAGCTCTCAGGTCCGTGCCAGGGGGCCTGTGGCTGTTTCCCTAGAGGTGGAAGCGCACTGGGGTCAGGGTGAGAACAGCTGGCCGGGGTCTGAGATTGTACGTTGTTTGAAGGGGCCCCACCCTCACGGGCCGTGTTAGCACCGCTCCCCTCCTCAGCGTTCACTCCTTACACGACACACACCCACAGCTGTGCTCAGTCCAGCACGACCAACTCACCGATCTCCGGCCTCCTGACTTGAGCAAGATGTCCCGGGCCAGGGAGCTGAAAGCCTGTGGGGGAAAGGAGTGACCGGTCAGAGCAGGTTGGAGGGGACGGTGGCGGCCTAACAGCCATCTCCGGGAGTGGGGGGCAGGCATGGGGTGTGTCTCACCTCATCCACATTTGTGCTGGATTTGGCACTTGTCTCGAAGAATCGAATTCCATGCTCCCGAGCCAGCTGTGGGGTGGAGAGATGAGACGGGTGGATAAAGGTGGCGGCAGCCCTTGGAGTCCGAACTCGCCTTGGCCGCCCAGCCGGGCCTCACCTGATCGGCCTGCTCCTTCCGCACTCTCCTCTTGGCCTCCATGTCACACTTGTTCCCCAGCAGCAGACGCTGCACCCCTGCAGAGGCATTCTGGGAGCAAAAGGGCAGGAGGAGTAAAGTTGGGTCCTGCTCACCTTCACGGCCCCCTCACCCTCCAGGTTCTACCCAGTCCCCCGTCTCTCCAGGATGGTTGTCACCTCTTTGATGCTTTTCATCCAGTTCTGAATGTTCTCGAAGGATTTCTCATCTGTGATGTCATACACTAGGATAATGCCCTGAGAGATGGCAAGAATCCACCATGGAGCCTTGGTCCACATTCCCCCGTTTCTGCTTCCTGCCCCTCCAAGTGACCCTGCAAGCCCTACCCACAAATCTAATCACTAGTCCAGGTGGGGCCCTCCACATCCCACACTATAACCCTGACACCGTCCCTGCCCGACCCTGCGGCCCGTGGTTCTCAGAACCCTGCAGTCTACCGCCTCATCCCTTGTCCAGACCCACACCCCGTACCATGGCCCCGCGGTAGTAGGCGGTGGTGATCGTCTTGAATCGCTCCTGGCCAGCCGTGTCCCTAAGAGGCGGAACGTTTGTGGGGCGGCACAGAGGGAACAGCTCTCCGAAGAGAGAATCCCCCCTGCTAAGAATTTAGCTTCTGCAACAGAGTGGGGGCTGAGAGGAACAGAATCAGAAAACAGTAAAGGAGGAAAAGAAGGTAAGACAGCTGGGAACAAGGTCTCGGGTTTATTTGTTGCAGGATTACTCTGTGCAAGCACTGCTAATCTTCACCCCACACTTGAGACACGTTCTACTGGCCTTATTTTACAAACGGGGACGCAGATGTGGAGAGGCTAAATAACTAATGAAAGTCCTTCCACAGCAGAGCCAGAACTTGAACCACAACCTGCTCTTATCTGTTGCATCTTAACACCTCTTTCAGGCCACCAGCCACTTGCACACCTTCGGAGTCCCGGGCTTCCTGTGACAGCCCAGCCCTCTATCTTCAGCTTTCTGGGCTTGAGGTAATTCAGGGAGCGCACAGACAGAGTCAGGTCTTAGTTCTGCCATTTGCTGCTCACCTGCTTTAATGTCATTTCCACGTGGCAGCCCTGCAGACGTTTGTCAAGTTCAGAGAATGCTCTGGAGCCAGGAGAGGCAAGAGAGTTACAAGAAAGCTGAAAATAAATAGTTGAGTGAGCAGGAAGAGGGATGGAAGGACGTCTGAGCAAGGCGACAGGAAATGGAGAAGTACCGGAAGGAGCTGTGGGGAAAGGGAGAGAAATGAGGCAAATGGAAGGGAAAGGGTGACAGGAGGTAAACGAGGGTTTGTGGCCAGCGGTCCCGGGGGTTCACTCACCAGACCTGCAATTTGATCTTCTTCCCCTCTATATCCACAGTGCGGATCTTGAAGTCGATTCCTACGAGTGGAGCATATATATAGATCACTCAGGCTGAGACTCTGCAGGGACGAGGAGGGCGTGCAGGGGAGACCCGGCATGGAGAGCAGCAGGGCTAGAAACTGTGCAGGGGTGCACTTGGGAAGCAACTTTGTTGCACGTATAAAACTAAGAGACTTTTCTCAAACCTGTATTTGGGTAGCAAGCATCTTGTTTTTACATGGATTTTATGGATGTGGGAGGGGGTAGGTGATGGAAATTCTGCAGGGAGGCTTAAGGCACCTCTTGGATCCACTCAGCCGACCAGGTGACAACTCTCAGAATTCAGTGCCTCCCCCAGAATATTACTTTTAGATTCCTTTTCCTTTCTGTTTTCTTAGAACCACCGTCTATGCTCCAGCCATATAGGATGAAGAGCCAGGAAAAAGGTAGCTGATGCCAGTCTGTGTGAGTTAACTAGTAGGCTGGGCTTGCAAGCAAGAAATCTGAGGATAAGTAAGATTTCTCCTTAGACTGAACTAGGATAGAGAGGCATTTTCCTTCCCTTTTCTAACCAGAATTGTCTTGAGATTCCCCTCGTTTTATTTCCCAGGCCAGAGAAGATGAAGAAAGACAAGAGGGGAGGAGGGGAGGCAGTGTTCTTGGTGGAAACTTGGGCACCTCCCCAGAGCCGGTTGAGAGCCTAGGGAGGAGCCTGAGTCACCAGGCTGACTCAGAGCCCCCAAAAGTTCCCCCACTCCCACCGTCCTTGCCTGGCTGACTGCATATTCACGGTTCCAGTCCTTGGGCCATCCTCCAGCACACCCGGCCACTTTGTTCCACCCCCCACCCCAGACCCCCAGTTAAGTTGAGGGGCAGGGAGACTGGGAAGTAATTTGGTACAGTGGGGATGCAATGGGGGAGTCTGAAACTCAGCGAGGCAGAAAGAGGCTGGCGGAACTGGAAGCCGCCTTCAGGGAGAGGGGTTACAGGAAATACAGGGAGGTGGGTGGGGGTGGGGGAGAGGAGTGGAGCAGGAAATCGAGAAGGATTCATGTGCATTTGGGTAGGTGAGGGAGAAGGGTGGTCCCAGGAACCCCAGGAGCTGGCACAACTGAGAAGTTACCTGGAGGCCTCAGACAGTTTAGAGGTTGGGTACCATCCAGAGATATGCTCCACGGATGGGTCTGAGTCAGGGGTTGGGAGGCTAGAGTTCAGAAGCCTCACTCTAAGGGGGGTGGGGGGTGGTAAAGAGTGGGGCCACGAGTAATCTGGGAGCCTGAGGATGAGGTCATGCGGGGATTAGGGGCTCTGGGATATGGCCAGTGGGCTCACCGATAGTGGAGATGTAAGTGTTGTTGAAGTTGTCTTCTGCAAAGCGAATGATCAGACAAGTCTTGCCCACCCCCGAGTCCCCGATCAGCAGCAACTTGAAGAGGTGGTCGTAGGCTTTGGCCATGGCGGACACTGGGGAGCCGGGGGAGGGGTGGGGAAGCTCCGGGCACTGGTAGGCGGGATCGGAGGGCTGGCGGACGGAGCTGCCCGGAGCCCAGGCCAGGAAGTTTTCCTCCCTCTCCGCCCAAGCTCCGGGATAGAGGGGAGGCGGCACTCCTCTGGGCCCCACCCCCTGCCCGCCCACCCCTTTCCTCCCGCGGCGGCGGCAGCCCGGCCTGGCCGGCCTTCTGCTCCCCGGGCCCGAGCTGGCCCGTCTCCCAGGCCATTTCCCACCCACAGCGTCTGGCTTGCCATCACTCCCCTCTTTTGATCTCACTCTGGCAGTCTTAGGCCAGGGAGGCTGGGGTGAATGGAACCAGAGGTTTAACCCAAATGAGCAGAGGAGGACGAGCTCTAGAGGAGTTAGGGGAAAAGGGAAAGTTTTGCGGGAAGAAGGGTGGAGGTGGGGATGGCCCTGGGAGCTGACAAAAATCGGGGGCTGATTCAAGGGACGGAAACCTTGTAGGGGCGGCGCGCGAATTCCGGTGTTGCTGTTCCCAGCCCTCAGTTGGGAGACCAGCTCCGTTTGAAAAGAGCGGGATGCTCTGGAAGGCAAGGCTACTTGTTGGGCGGGTCTGCCCCCTGGTGGAGCAGAGTGAACACGCAGCGCCCGCCCGCCCCGCCGCACCCCTCCCTCCGTCTCGACCGAGACACGTTCGGGGTTTCATTATCAACAGTCCTCCAACAGGGACCGTGTGCGGCAAGACAGAGCTTGGGACTGAAAATGTCTGGCCTCATTCTTTCGACGAGGCGCGCATGTTGAGAACACAGCGGAGGCCGCGCCCTCATCCCTCGCGGGAAGGCTGTGACGAGGCCACCAGGGCGCTGGAGCGTGGGAACACGGCGATCCGGGCACAGGCTGGCTGTGCCGGTGGAAACACAGCATGCAAAGCGTCTGCGTCTCCGACAGGGGCCAGTCGAGCCGTCCGCGCAGTGTCCGGGCTGTGCCTCTGCTGGCCCCCTGCCAGCCCCCTTCTGCGCGTCCTCTCGCCTCCCGGTCGGCCTTCCAGCCGTGCCACAAACTCCACGGTTTCCCTATTTCTTCCCCCCGCCGGGCCGTCTCGCACCCGTCCTTGAAATCACGCTGCCATCCCCCCGAACTGTTCGGACACAAATCTGCCCGTTCTTTTACTTTTTCGTTGGCCGGGATGTGGCCTCCTCAGCCCCGGGGGTTCAGGTCTCCCTCGACTAAGCCCGTGCGCTCAGCCCTTAGCTCTCTCTGGCCGCCTCGCCTCCCCCCTGCTCAGCTACGCCACGCTCCTTCGGCCCCGGGTTTTGGCTTCTCCCAGACAGTCGCACGGTGGACTCCACGTCCTTCAGATTTCGGCCTAAATGTCACTTCCTCACGGGACTTTCTGGGCCGCGAGCGGGGCGCTGAGAACAAAGTGCGCCCGTCCCTCACCGGCGCCAGGCTGCACGACGCCCCGCGGGCGGTACCTGCGCCACAGGAGCAAACACTGTCCCAGGCACGTCTGTGTGTCGCACGGGCCCCAACGCGGCCGTCCCCGCGCGCGCACTGCAGAGGGTGGGCGGTACCGCGCGGGCCGCGAGGGGACGGGGA